CTACTACTACGACTACTACTACTACTACTACTGCTACTACTACTACTACTACGACTAGTATTTCGAGTACCACTACTATTGCTACTACTACGACGGCAACTACGATCACTACTACTACTACTACTACTACTGCTACTACCACTACGACTACTACTATTACCATTACTACTACTACTACTACTACTACTACTACTACTACTACTACTACTGCTACTACTGCTACGACGACTACTACTTTTACTACGACTACGACTACTACTACTACTACTACTACTACCACTACTACTACTAATACTAATACTACTACTACTACTACTACTACTACTACTACTACTATGACTACTACTAGTACTACGACTACGACGATTACTACTACTACTACTACTACTACTACTACTACTACTATTACTAACTACTACTACGACTACTAGTGCTAGTTCTACTACTTCCACCACTACTACTACTACTACTACTACTACTGCGACTACTATTATTACTGCTGCTACTAATACTACTACAACGACTACTTCTTCTACTGCTCCGACTATTACTGCTACTACTACTACTACTACGACTACTACTACTACTATTATTACTACTACTACGACGGCTTCTAGGACAAATGCCACAATTATTATCACTACGACTACTACTGCCACTACCACTACCATTACATTACATTACGACTACTACTACTACTACTACTACTACTACTACGACTACGACTACGACTACGACTACGACTACGACTACTACTATTTCTACTATTACTACTACTACTGCTGCAACAGCTACAACTAGCCCGACATGCACTTCTTCCTTTTCTTCCCTTCTCTATATACCCACCCACCCCCATCCCCCACCCCTTCCTTCTCTCATTGTCTTCTGTTGTGTTCCCATCCTTGTTCTCGTTATTGTCCATCTCCTCGTGGATTACTGAATTACGCATTGCTGTGCCTCCTTCTGCAGCAGTGCAGTTTTGTTTCGTCTCGCTAAGGCGCGCTCGTCAGATCGGCCGCGATCCCCATCCTTCGACAGTTCCTCTTTACCTTCCATCCCCCTCCTTCCTCCTTCCTCCGGTTCCTTTTCCCCCTCTCCTCGCAGCTCGCGCGTATTCTCGAGATGTACGCTCAGATCAGGGACCACAGTTTGCCGTGCAGGATGAAGTAGGTTCGGTCCCAGCGCGCGGAGATACAGCAGTGCAGGAGTTGCTAGACCAGTGGTTCCCGCTTTGGTTTACGCCCAGCCAGGAAGGGAGAAACCACCCAGCGCTATGGGACGTGAAAGGACACACTCTGCCGCGCATGTCCTTGGAGTTTGTTTTCCAGAAGTTCTGCCCAAGTTGTCATGATGTGGCCAGGTTGGGCTGGGATGTGTTTCGCCCCAAACCCACAGTGACCCCCCTGTGGAATACCATGATCGAATGGTAGACGCCCTCCATGAGGTCGAGGACCGCCCCGCTGTGCTAACAGATTCCCCCCCGAATTTGATTATATTGTATATGTCTGATGGGGGGGTCTGACTCACAGGCCTCTTACGTATGTTCACGAAGTTGTGGTCGACATGTCATCAGGGGATCTGCAGAGGGTGGGAAGCACGACGCAGAGAGAGCTTCTTCTGGGGCGGTGACCGTGCCAAGACTTGTGGGCGCGCTGGGTGGATTCACCTTATGCTTGCGCAGTGGCAAGATGCTTGGCACGTCGGCAGCAACGGCCCTTCTCCTTGAAAAGAAGTTCCATGAACACATTGATCACCTAGATCTCTACAGGGCAGCAGGGTGTCATGGTTTCAATATGAAGCAGCTGATGGGATTGTGTGATCGATGCGGGGAAAGGGTGCTGCACTACAGACGGGGGTGTCAGGACAGATACCGGGAAACGAGGCAGTAATTGCAGAGCGTTCAGCAGCAACTACTTTGACGAAGCTGCTGCTTCCGACCCCTTCGCAGCGAGCGCAGGCAGGACGGCCGCAGCTATACCTTCGAAACGTGTTCGACTACAGTGTTTGCCGGATTGTCGGGCCGCCAGAGCTAGTGTCCAGGCAATAGGCGGAAGACGAGGTCGAAGTCGAGGTACATGGCCAGCGATGAGAACATAGATGGCCTCCTGCAGCAGACCTGGGACGTCCCCGAAGAGGCCCGAGTTAAGCACGCACGGAGCCCGGGGAGCGACGCCGCCTTGGGGACCCTACGCCGCGCGGCGGTCATCGCAGGAAGATGGAGTTCGGCGCAGACTCGAGGGGCCCTGTCCTGTCCTGTCCCCCTCCTCCTCCTCCTCCTCCTCCTCCTCCTCCTCCTCCTCCTCCTCCTCCTCCTCCTCGCCAGGATCAGATAGCCGAGGGCTGCGGGGGCGACCACCACCTGGATCCAAGGGGGGGGGCCCACGGCCTCGGCCCTCTGGGGCTCCAGCCAGCATCATGGAGATGCCGCCGCACCAAGTGCATCATCTTCGATTGGGGGCGCTGGGGAGTCTGTGGAAGACCTCGAAGGGCATCGCAATGAGGCTCCGAATGTACCCCTTCAAGGACGGGTTCAGAGTGGACCCCCTCGACATCAGCATGGTCACGAGAGGCTTCATGTGGGCGGCGGCCGTCCGGAGGCCACTCCCGCAGCTGCGCGCTCTGGACTGGTGTTTGCAGGGAGCCGAGGACGGATTGGCTGCGCTACGAGCGCCGTGGAGGGCCGCTGCGGCCCCAGCAGAGGTCGCCATTTTTGAGCCTGCTGAGGATCGGCTGAGGCCTGGGGAAAGGCCACCAGATCTCCACAGACGGGCAGCAGCGCATCGACCTGCTCACGACCCCCCGTGCGCTGGTCCAATTGTTGCTCTGTGAGGGGGGGCAAAACGAGCGTAGAACAGACAGGCCCTAGCTGTTCGGGAGGCTTCGGCGCCGTGATGCTTGCCAATACTCTGGGAAGGTCTGGGAAAGCTGGTGGACCAGAAAACGACCTCCTGGACGAGTCGACATCAACATCATGCGCTTATGTCCCTGGTCTCGGGAGGGCATTGAGCTCCACAGCGGTTATTTCGTCATGGGCTCTCTGAGGCTGGGCGTCGTGACTAAGGCAAGGACCCTGATGGGCCCCTCTGGCAGCGTGCGCACGCCTGCCAGAGAGGCTCGCGAGGGGCGTCTTCCCGCCCCCCGAGATTATGTTCACCGTGCCCGCGGAGCCAGAAGAGACGATCCGTTGGCACAGCAGGCCTGAGCTTGGACTCGTGAGCGGAAACCTTTTCACGGACGGCTCGGCCTCGTGGGCGGATGCGCTCTGTTTGGCCCGAGCGGGTTGGGTTGCTGCACAGGTAAAACCAGCTTGGGGATGTTGAGGCGGCCGCGTTTTGGGCCAGTTCGGTGGGCAGCGTGCCTGAGACAGACTGCTAGAGATGCAGGGGATTATGCAAGCAGCATGCTCGCTGCTGCGGCGTTGCAGCCGTTTCACCTGCACGCGGATTGCGCGGGGACCGTTGGAACGTTGTTTGTTGGTGAAGGGGCAGGGGCAGTTGCCCCAGAGCCAATATGTGGAGCACCTTCTGGGCGGCGTTCGGAGTGGGAGATTTTTCTTTCAGCAAGACCAAGACGCATTGCATCAAAGCTGACATCGGCGCGGGCAGGGCCACGGAGTGAGAGTTCAAGGGGAACGCCGCTGCGGACCGTTTCGCGAAGCACGGCCTCTATGCATGGAGCGGGCTCCGATGTTCATGAGTCATGGATTCATGAGCTCTGGCGTGGATGTAAAGAGCTGGCCCAAGAGACGGCCAGACGGGCCACAGAGGCCCACGTCCAAGTAGGGAATGCGCCAGATCATGAAGATTTAATGGAGGCTTACATGAGGGCCAGGGCGGACGGCGGCCGCGAGACAGAGCCACGGGCAAAGCCGCCGCCCGAGAAGCTAGATGATGACGGGGAGCTGGGGGTCGAGTCTGGGGGGCACGGGGTAGGGTTGGGGCGGGAGGAGCTCGCTCAGTCCACCTTTCGGTGGCGAGGCCACAGCCTGCTGCAGGCTGAAGTGGAAGAGCATGTGACCCCAGTAGAACTTCTTTTTTTGTTGCTGCAGCTGTGGGGCAGTGGCCTCAGACGGCCGCCCGACGTCGAGCCTGGAGGCCGCCTGCCCATGACACAAGGCTAAATCGAGGGGCTCATCATCATCACCGTCATCATCAGCAGCATCTGCACCACCATCATCACAACCATCATCAGCATCATCATCAGCATCATCATCATCATCAGCATCATCATCCTTCTCCTCATCCTCATCATCATCATCATTCTCCTCATCCTCATCATCACCATCATCAGTATCATCAGCATATTCTTCCTCGTCGTTATCACAAATGTTATAAGCATTATTATCAGTATTGCTATCATGATGATCATCATCATCATCATCATCATCATCATCAGCAGCAGCAGCAGCAGCAGCAGCAGCAGCAGCAGCATCAGCAGCAGCAGCATCATCAGCAGCAGCATCATCCGCAAAGGGCAGTTCCCCTCGTACCGCCCCACGGCTCGTGACCTCACGCTGTGCAGGCCGCGCGGCGTCTTGCCCCAGGTGAGGGCAGAGACAGGCGGCCCAGGCAGCGGCGAAGCCAGCCCCGGCGGCAGCGCCCGCGGAGGCGCGAGCGCCTGGCGCCCGGGGAAGGCTGGACGCGGTAGGGGGGGGGGGGGGGTCGGGCGGAGGTCCTTCGGCGTTCGGCCGGAGGAGGGGGAGCTCGAGCTGGTCCGCGAGAGGGGCCGCCGTGCCATTCGCGTGGACGCGGTGGGGGGGGACGGGCGGAGGTCCTTCGGGCGTTCGGGCCGGAGGAGGGGGAGCTCGAGCTGGCCCGCGAGAGGGGCTCGGCCACCGACGAAGATCGGGAGTCCGAGGCCGGGCTTTTCGGTGGATGCCATGTTTGACGCCTGCAGGGGGAGCCCAAACCATACCATCCCCCTCCCTCCTCCCTCCTCCCTCCTCCCGCCTCCCCTCCCCCCTCCCCCCTCGCAAGCTCCTCGCAACCTGCCCGCTCCAGGAGCAGAAGCGGCGGCTGCCGGCGCCGTCGCCGCCCAGGCCGGGGGCGCGCGGCGCCGCTTGCCCGAGGGATGGGGCGCGCTGGGGGTGGAGCGGGTGGGGCGGGGCGTGCCAGGAAGTGTCGGGCTCCTCCTCCTCCTCCTCCTCCTCCTCCTCCTCCTTCTCCTCCTTTTCTCCTCCTCCTCCGCCTCCCTCCTCTCCTCCTCCTCCTCCTCCTCCTCCTCCCCTCGTCCCCCTCGTCCTCTCCTCCTCCCCCTCCCCCTCTGTCCTCCTCCTCTCCCTCCTCCTCCTCCTCTCCTCCTCCTCCTCCTCCCTCGCCTCCTCGTCCTCCTCCTCCTCCTCCTCCTCCTCCTCCTCCTCCTCCTCCTCCTCCTCCTCTTCTCCTCCTCGGGGGGGGAAGGCAGGCTCCCCCCCAGCCCCCCTCTCAGGCTGGACGGAAGGGGTGGATTGGGAAAGGGGGGGGTACGAAGTCTGCGGCATGCAGCTGGTTTCGGCTCCACCGAGGGGCCCACTCCTCGATACATAGCCGCCTCCGGCGCCGGGGGGGTGAAAATCAGCTACGTGAGCTGATTCTCAAACCCCCCTTTGCTATCCCCCCCTTTCGCCCGACCCGAAGGTGGAGGAGGTGGGGTCCCGCCGGTAATGAAGCAGCGCTTGCACGCCAGGGGCCATGCAGCACGGCAGCGAGGCAGACACGAGGGGGCGAGGAAGGGGTGAGAACATCCTGTCAGAGTGGTGTTGCCCTCGGAGCCTGCATGCCCTGCCTCCTTTTCCTTCCCCGGGGATCGGGCACGGGCCCGGCCCGAAGCTTGTCGCCACGGCTCTCGGGGTGCCCGCAGGCCGGCGCGGGCCCGCACCCGGAGGCAGGGCACGGGGCCCCCGGAAGCGGAGGCGGCGAGCCACCCGCCCGCCCGCCTCCGGGTCTCCACACCTCGCGCGGGCGGGGTGCGGCGGCCTCCTCCTCCTCCTCCTCCTCCTCCTCCTCCTCCTCCTCCTCCTCCTCCTCCTCCTCCTCCTCCTCCTCCTCCTCCTCCTCCTCCTCCTCCTCCCGCTTGGTATCGCTCGGACGTGTGCACTTTTTCTCGGCGGGAAAATTAAGGAGCATCCTGGATCCTCCTGCGAAAAAGCCGCGCACGAGACCGAAACAAGCACAGGGAATGGACGTCCGAGCGATGGCGAGGGCGGCGTCCTGGGGCCCGGGCCCTGGCGCGTTCCTCACGGCCCGCCGCCGGGTCTCCACACCTCCTGCGAGCAGAGCACGGCGGCGGCGCTGGCTGCAGGGGCGCCCGCCTGGAGCCCGGGCCCTGGCGCGTTCCTCACTGCCCGCAGCCGGGTCTCCACATCTCGCGCGAGCGGTGCACGGCGGCGGCACTGGCTGAGGAGCGCCCCCCTGGGGCCCAGGCCCTGGCGCATTCCTTCTTGCCCGCAGCCCGGTCCTCACATCTCGCGCGAGCAGTGCACGGCGGCGGCATTGGATAAGGAGCGCCCTCATGGGGCCCAGGCCCTGGCGCATTCCTTACTGTTTCAAGGCGAGGTGGGTGGCCCGAGTCTGGCCGCCCATGGGTCGCGAGACCCTGGCTTCCTCATCGAAGGTGTCCTTATCTGAAGCCTCCACCGTATCAGGCTAGGGATTCCGAGCTCCAGAAGCATTGGGCCAGAGCGCTTCAGAAACACAGCATGCAAGACGTGCACAGGCAAGTCTCGCGCCCGCCCTCCCACCCACACCTCCGCGGAGCTACGGCGATCCGCCGTCCCTGGTCTGACTGATCCGACCCATCGCGCGACCAGCGCTGGAACGCCAGAAGGCGGAGTAATGGTAGTGGGCGTTCTCCTGCCTCCTCCTCCTCCTCCTCCTCTTGTTTATCCTCCTACTCGTCGTCATCCTCATCGTACCATCTTTCTGTTGCTCAACCTTTCTCCTCCCTTCTCCTTTTCTTACTCCTCCCCCACCTCTCTCCTCCTCCTCCTCCTCCTCCTCCTCCTCCTCCTCCTCCTCCTCCTCCTCCTCCCTGGGGAGGAGAACAAGGAGGGGGGGCGGCACATCGAGAAGCAGTGGCGGGGAACAGGAGAAGGAGGCCGAGAAGGATGTAGAGCGGCGCCACTTCACAGGAAGAGAAGGAGCAGGAGGAGGAGGAGGAGGAGGAGGAGGAGGAGGAGGAGGAGGAGGAGGAGGGGGAGGAGCAGGAGAAGCACGAGGAGGAGGAGGAGGAGGAGCAGGAGAAGGAGGAGCAGGAGGAGGAGGAGGAGGGGAGGAGGAGGCAGGAGGAGCAGGAGAAGCAGGGAGAGCTGGAGAGGGAGGCGGACGGCCACGGCCAGCTCCGCCGCAGGCTGCCCGAGGAGGCCTCCGCGGACGGGGAGAGCCCCGCCAGCAAGACCGGGTGCTGGGTGCTGGCCGAGGTGATGCGGGGCAAGAGGCGCGGCCGCGCCGTCGCGGCCGCCGTCGTCCCTGCTCCTCCTCCTCCTCCTCCTCCTCCTCCTTGTCCTCCTCCTCCTCCTCCTCCTCCTCCTCCTCTTCCTCCTCTTCCTCATCCTCCTCACCATCATCATCACCACCATCATCAATAATTATCATCAGCATCATTACCATCATCATCAGCAGCATCAGCAGCAGCAGCAGCATCATCATCATCACCATCATCACCATCGTCCCTGCTCCTCGTCGTCGCCCTCCTCCTCCTCCTCTTCCTCCTCCTCCTCCTCCTTCTCCTCCTCCTCCTCCTTGTCCTCCCCCTCCTCCTCCTGCTCCTCCTTGTCCTGCTCCTCCTCCTCTTTCTCCTCCTCCTCCTCCTCCTCCTCACCATCATCACCACCATCCCTAAGAAGTTTCATCAGCATCAGCATCATGATTATCACAGTCATCATCATCAACATCATCATCAGCAGCAGCATCAGCATCATCATCAGCATCATCAGCAGCACCATCATCATAACCATCCTAATCATCATCGACAACAACAACAAACATGGTAAGACTGTTCGCTCCGACCTGCGCATGTGCCGATAAAAACGTATATACCAAACACTCGGTACCCGCTCTTGTCGTCTTCGATCGTACCCCCTGGGGGGTTTACCCTCCTTACCTGCCACGTGCATGTAGCGCAGCCCCTAAAATAAGGGAAGAGAGGACGGATGTAAAAGGGAGAGAAAATAATGGAGCACGAGAGACAAATTACCAGGAGGGGCGCAAGGAGCAGAAAACAAGTGGTAGAACCAGACGGGCTGATCGGGTGGGCAGACCCATAGCGGGCAGGTCGGGAAGGCGGGCCAAGGCGACCAGGTCGAGCAGGCGGGTTGTTGAAGCGTGAGTCCTGCATGAATCGCGATGAAGTCTCGAGCGATAGCGCGATTCCCAAGTAAATCGTGAGAAAGCCAATGCGAGAGCGTGATTCCTGAGCGCCGAGGGCGCATCGTTTGAAAAAATTGCGAGGAAGTCCCTCGCGAGAGCGCGATGCGTACATGAATTGTGAGGAAGTCCCCCGCGAGAGCGCGATTTGGGAATACATTGTGAGGAAGTATCCGGCGGGAGACGCTGTTGTTGTAAACCGGGGGCCAGGGGCCCAGTTAGAGCCCCGTGATTTCCCTTGATGAATTATTCACTGCGTGGAGATCCCCATATGTGCATCTATTCGCATGGACCTGTCCGCCGTGAATGTCTAGGCGCAAGAGCTTTCGAATATAAACCGGCTTCAGTTGTGACTGTCTGGTCATGAATCTAACTGCGAATGAATTGGAGTGTGAATGAGCCTCAGTAGTACGAGCGCGTCTCTGCGCATGAGCCTGGGGCCTCCTGAGGCCTCCTGAAACCTACTGGGGCTTCTGGGGCCTGCAGTCGCCTCTTGGGGCCTCCTGGGGCCTCCTGGGACCTCCCAGGGAGGCTTCGTGCCCCAGGAGAGGCCCAATCTATAGCAACCGACGTACATAAAACATTGCGGATTGGAGCCACAGGAGAAGGGCAATCTATAGGAACACGCGTAAAGCACCAAGGACTCGTGCCCCAGGAGAGGCCCAACATATAGGAACATAAGTAAAACATTTAGGATTGTGTTCACAGGAGAATGACAATCTATAGAAACAGACGTATAGCGTCAAAGATTCGTGCTCCAGGTGAGACCCAATCTATAGGATCAGACGTACAACGCATGGGATTGGAGCCACTCCTGTTGCCTTCTGAGGCCTCCTGCTCCTGGGGCCTCTCGGGGCCTCCTGTTGCCTTCCGAAGTCTCCTGGCGCTTCCTGTGGCCTCCTGGGGCCTCCTGTGGCTTCCTGAGGCCTCCTGGAGCTTCCTGGGGCCTCCTGGAGAACCTTGGAACATCTTGTGGCCTCTTGAGTCTTTCTGTGGCCTCCTGATGTTTCCTGGGACCTCACGTGGTCCCCAGTGGCCTCCTGGAGCCTGTTGGAGCATCCTGTGGCACCCTGAGGAGAATCTGTGCCCACGAGTCTGGCCACCAAAACAGACAAACCGAACGAGACATCCTCAAAATCTGGCCCACCTGGGGGGTGAAAATGAGCGCCTCGCTCGAGACATCCTCCAAATCTGCTCCGAACGCGAAGGATGCTGGGCCAGAAAACAAGCAAACCGCTTGAGACATCCCGACAAAACGGCAGCGAACGGGACCGTGTCATACCCCTCGGCGGCTCCCCTTAGGCGCATGAAAATGAGCGCCTCGCTCGAGACATCCTCCAAATCTGCTCCGAGCGCGCCAGAAAACAGGCAAACCGCTTGAGACATCCCCACAAAACAGCAGCGAACGGGACCGTGTCATACCCCTCGGCGGCTCCCCTTAGGGGCGTGAAAATGAGCGCCTCGCTCGAGACATCCTCCAAATCTGCTCCGAACGCGAAGGATGTTGGGCCAGAAAACATGCAAACCGCTTGAAACATCCTTAGAAAACGGCCGCGAACGGGGCCGTGTCATACCTCCCGGCAGTTCCCCTTAGGGGCGTGCAAAATGAGCGCCTCGCTCGAGACATCCTCCAAGCCTGCTCCGGACGCGAAGGATGCTGGGCCAGAAAGCAGGCAAACCGCTGGAGACATCCCCACAGAGCGGCCGCGAACGGGACCGTGTCATACCCCTCGGCGGCTCCCCTTAGGGGTGCTGAAACCAGCGCCCAGTCGGAGACATCCTCACAATCTGCTGTGTGTAGAGTAAGTCAGACACTGAGAAGGCCTGAGTATGAGTAAGCCTGGGTATGAGTGAGTCTCAGCATGAGTAAGTCTGCGTATGGGCAGGTCTGAGTATGAGTAATATTGTGTGTGAGTAAGTCTGGGTATGAGTAAACCTGAGTGTAAGTCAGTCTGTGCATGAATAAGTCTGGCTATGAGGAGGAGAGGGGAGGAGAAGGAGGAGGATGAGGAGTAGGAGGCGTCAGAGTAACAACAGAACCCCATCTTAGGATATGGGGAACAAACAGGGTGCGAGCCCAGGGGGAAGCACTTCAATTCAAAAAACACAAAGGTCACCGAAGGGGGGGAGTAACAATAATTATCCGTAAGGGCTTCGCCCCCTGCCGCCGGCCCCCTCTCTCGGATAATGGGCCATGGAAGAGCTAAGTCATGAGGCCTTGGTGCTGTCGTGAAGTAGTATCGAAACTTCATGCGAAGCCGAGTCGCAATCAGCAAAACCAACTGATCACAAGAGGGGGTACCACACCTGGCGATTGGTAAGACGTGTATGGTTTAAGGGCTTGGTTACCACACCTTGCGATGAAAGGGCCGAGGAAGTTCTCGCAGTTTGGGTTACCACGCCTTGCGATGGATGTGCGTGATGGGTTCGAATTTCAGAAATGTGGCAAATCCCCTGTGTTTTTGGACCCTGACCCCGCGGATCTGCGTGAGGGGTGGCACCGAATTTCAGAAATGTGGCAAATCCCTGTGTTTTTGGACCCTGACCCCGCGGATCTGCGTGAGGGGTGGCACCGAATTTCAGAAATGTGGCAAATCCCATGTGTTTTTGGACCCTGACCCCGCGGATCTGCGTGAGGGGTGGCACCGAATTTCAGAAATGTGGCAAATCCCTTGTGTTTTTGGACCCTGACCCCGCGGATCTGCGTGAGGGGTGGCACCGAATTTCAGAAGTGTTGCAAATCCCTTGTGTTTTTGGACCCTGGCCCCGCGGATCTGCGTGAGGGGTGGCACCGAATTTCAGAAATGTGGCAAATCCCTGTGTTTTTGGACCCTGACCCCGCGGATCTGCGTGAGGGGTGGCACCGAATTTCAGAAATGTGGCAAATCCATGTGTTTTTGGACCCTGACCCCGCGGATCTGCGTGAGGGGTGGCACCGAATTTCAGAAATGTGGCAAATCCCATATGTTTTTGGACCCTGACCCCGCGGATCTGCGTGAGGGGTGGCACCGAATTTCAGAAATGTGGCAAATCCCTGTGTTTTTGGACCCTGACCCCGCGGATCTGCGTGAGGGGTGTCGATTTCGAGCCCCCCCAGCAATTCAGACAACGCGCCCAGGGGACGCTGGAAAATCCTGTTTGGGCCTCCCCCCCCTCGCGCGGTCAATCAACTAGTTACAGTAACCAGCAAGAAGTCAACTAGTTACAGTAACCAGCAAGAAGCAGAACTGTAACACTGGAAACTAGAAACTACAGCTGGCACAGGAAACTGCGAATCACGCGCCTACAGCCTGGTGGCCCCACAAGGGGGCCGGCGGATTCTTCAGCAGCGAAAACCAACGACAACAACAACAACAGCAACAACAGCAAAAACGACGACAACGACAACAATGACGACAACAACAGCAACAATCATTTTAAGACTGTTCGCCCTTATCTGCTCAAGTGTCCAATAACGCGTCTTTCCCAAACCCTCGATACCCGCCCTCTTCGTCTTCGATCGAACCCCTTTTGGGGGGTATACTTTTTTTCCCTGCAGGCCGGGCCCCGGCCAGCGGCGGGGCGGCCGCGGACCCTCGGCCTGGCCAGCGGCAGCGCTGATCGGCGGGGCGGCCGCGGACCGTCGACCCGACCCCAAGAGGGACGGACAGGGGACCGACGACGACGACGACGACGACGACGTCGTCGATGATGACGACGACGACGACGACGACGGCGACGACGAGCGAAAGCGAGAGCGAGAGAGCGACAGCAGGGCCACGAAGGACATGAAGTAGGCCACGAAGGGCGATAGCGGGGACACGAAGGGAATGCGTATGGGGCCACGAAGAGCGCGAACGAGCGGG